GTTTCGTTGTTGAGTTGTCTGAGCTTTCCTGAGAAAGCCTCGTCACCATTTTCCATTCTCTCATTCGTTTTCCATTCAAAGTTCCGAAGAAATCTGGCTCTATTAGCCTCTACCAACATGTGTTTTCGTCGATTTAAGACCATGCTCTCCACAACGTTTCGTTACTGAGAAACCTTGCAGCTGCGCATAGCCCCATTTTGGTCACTGTTGTGGCGACATCTCACAAACCATGCACGATCGAGCCAGACAAAAAATTTCGTCACCATACTTTCACAAGATCATCATCTCCTAAAAGTTTGGTCGAGATCTGACTTGTACTTTCAGAGATAGATTTCCGACGGGTGGGGGAGGGACTGGAGGACTTAACATGAAAACTTGAATTTGCTTTCAGAATATCAATGTTTTTTGACAATTTGTAGCGTTTCGAGCTCTTTTGTGCACGTGAAACAGAAGTTCTGTATGATTGGCTCATTGTGTACAAGATTCATTAGTCAAATTTTTGGTAGTACAAAGATTCATGAACAGACAATCGTTTTAGTTTAAAATTGATTTGTCGTTTACTAAAACCGTGAGATAAATCACTGACAGAAAAGTATCTGTGTATGAAAGATCAAAATCAAGTAGAAAATAATTATTTTCCTTTCATTCTTTCAAACATATTTATTCAAATTACCTAACTCAATCATAAAAGCTGTTTTCGGCAGCTAGAAACCAAAATTTCTTCGGAACTTTGAATGGAAAACGAATGAGAGAATGGAAAATGGTGACGAGGCTTTCTCAGGAAAGCTCNTATTATCTATAGTATTTCCAGATTTTCTTCTACATTACTACTACTGCTAAAGTCTTTCATTGAATTGAGCACGAAACTAACCTACGAGTCATAAGTAATTGGACAAATGTCGAGCATTATTTCTACATGTTTCTGAGGTGCTGGAAAGTTAATTATTTTTCCGTTGGAAAGAGTTAAGTGAACATATACGTTGACAAGCGCATCGTTCTAATACCGTTGTCAAACATTCATGCTCAAACTTGAAAGTAACAAAATTATTTTCTGTATTACAATCGTTATATAATTATTTCACATTTGTACAAAAAGATTAGATTTGAAATTCAGAAACTTGTTCGCTATTGTTTTAGATTATCATTGTTAAACGAAAAATATAATTCAAACATCTTCACATTAATACCAAAAACAACATCAACGCCTAGATGGTCAGCAACATTTGAATCATTGAAAGCAGTCTATAAATCGTATGTTGAAATTTTATTAGCTTTAAATGATATTGTGGATGACGGTAATTTTATTATAGAGTCACGATCTGAGGCAGTTACATTGTTGAATAATGTTAAAGAATTTGAATTTCTGATTAATTTAATATTTATGTGGCAAATACCAACGGCAAATAGCTTACAACGGTTTTACAAAACTAAGAACTGGATTTGATAACGCATTCGGAATAATGTCATTAACAGTTTCTCTATTTGAACAACAATGAGAAACCATGATGAAAGTTTAAACAACATTATTATATCACCAGAAAAAATGCCTATTAATAATGGAATTGATTCTGATTTAGAATTTTCAAAAAACCGCCATGCTCGTAAACCACTACAACGAATTGCTGATAATTCTCAAACGGCACTTCAATTTACAAGGTAAACGACAGTTGTTAAATCATTTATTATGTCTGGTATTCTCGTCTAAAATTTAGACAATCGTTTTGTATTAAAACTTATCGTGAGGTATTAGACAATTTAATACTAGAGTATTCGGAGGTGATCAGAAATATTGAAGATGTGAAATCAACACCAAAACATTTACCGAGTAGATCATTGTCCTTCGATATTAATGATGTTGAAATTGTTCCTAATATTAAGCATCATGAATTACCACTAGCAGAAATTTAATTTTTAATAAAATCTGAATCATTTCATAACAATATAACCAAAGTGCAAGATGTTGCGACAAAATTATTAATCAATGAAAGGAGTACTATCCAACTTTATTTATTGCTTATTCATTTTTTGTTATCCTTACCTATCACAGTGGCGGGCAATGAACGTTCGTTTAGTCGATTAAAACTTATGAAGAACCGTTTAAGGTCTACGATGGGGGATGAAAGGTTATTTCATTTAATGTTATGCTCAATAGAAAGAGATAAAAAAAATTACAGCCCTCCTGGTTTTTTCTCTAACCACAACACTGCTTGTGTTACTCATCCAAGACGTTTGATTTAGTCATATCAGAGATGAATGAAAAAAGGGGACATTGTGAAAATCAGAACGAATTTTTTGAAGCTTTCTTGTCTTTCACTACTTTCCTATATTATTTAACAAGTTAGTTTAGAATCTCTATTTTCGTTATATGGATAGAAGATAATATCCCATAAATGTTCGTGAAGCAAGCTTACATCGATTGATCAAACACCTGTCGCTAATATAAACTTTTATGTATCTACTCAGCAAAGCTCAGTATGGACTCGACTGAATCCATATTCCAGCCCGTGTGGATTGGACTGGGCTGAAATTATTTTGAGTTCATGCACTCGGACTGGACTGGACTCATGCTATCAAAATCGTGGATTGGTCTGAACTCGGAAAAACTTTTGAATGGACTTTATTTGGAGAAACTCGATAAAACCGACCGAGATATCCCAGCATCAGCTTTTTCCGTCCCCAAGGTTATTGAAGGAAAAGGCCCAAAGATCAGCTCAAAAGCACACATATAATATATGGTTTAATAGATCTCGATGTGCTTAAGGGTACTCCCTTGTCCCCCTTAAGAGGTACCCTTAATCGAGTGAGACGACAGAGAGTTAGATCGGACAGAATAGTGAAAAATCGCGTTTTTCTTCGGTGAAACTGAGAAAAGAATGCTTTACCCTCATTCATCGCATTTTACTTATCTTCTTGCCGCTCTTATTCTCATTTCGTGCTCTTCCAGTGTGCAGAGGCTCATGTTCTACATTAGTACAAAGCTTCTAGGCGGAAAAGATCGTGTTCATTTTATTCAACAGTTTCTTGAACTTATATTTAAACTTCTATATTAAACTACTAGTGATAAGAACGCAATCATAGCAATGGAGGCGTTTGTTTCTACCTGAACTGATTGTCAAGTGGCTTTGATGTATGCTGGGATTGACGAAGAAATCAATCAAGATGAAGATATAGTCATTACACAATTTGATAATATCCGTAATCAATCTGTTCTCTTTTAAATCAAAGTTGGTAATAGTGATGTTTCTGATGCGCCTGTTCAACCCTATGCTAATATTTGCGAATTTTCTTGTATGAAAGACGAAAACGGAGTTCTATTTTCAGTGGGAAGTAGTTTATTTCGAACTATTAAAGTGGATGACAGATTTACCTACCCTTCGAACCGCAGATTGGGGCACATAACTCTTCAAGTAGTAGAATATAGTGATGAAACTCTCGACAGATTAATGACTCACTATGGATATGATATCAAAGATTTCCATCCTCCGATAACTTTACAAAACTTAGGAAAACTTTTTCCATATATGGAAGAAATTACAGAAAAAACCATTAGGGCAGCCTTTAATGGGGCTAAAAGGGCGAAATTTCTTTAACGTCTTCAAACAGATTGACAAATTTGTAGAAAGAAACGTATAAAAGATATACAGAGAGCGCCTGAAATTGTGGCTTAAAAAACTGGCCGAATCTTATGGATGTTGCGTATAAAACTTCAACTCCGTCTCCTTTGGAAATATTGAAGGAGTTTCACAAAAAACGGCTATGTGATAGATTAGTAAGAGAAGAATATCCGCCATGGTATTATGCAATCAACCTACACACTCAACGTATCGTAAGA